GCCTGGTGATGTAGTTCATGAGTATTTATTATACTTTATAATTTACATGCTGTGTATATTATTTTCCAGCTATCAAACCACACACACACACACACACACACACACACACATATACATATATATGTATATATATTTTTTGAGACAGGGTCTGGCTCTGTTGTGCAAGCTGGGGTGCAGCGGCACAATCATAGCTCACTGTGACCTACAAGTCCTGGATTCAAGTGATCCTCCTCCCTCAGCCTTCCAGGTAGTCATGACTACAGGAATGCACTACCATGCCTGGCTATTTCTTTAAGATTTTTTTTTTTTTTTTACAGAGGTGGGATCTCCTTTCTCTTTCTCTCTTTCTCTCTTCTTTCTCTCTTTCTCTCTTTCTTTGTTTCTTTCTTTCTTTCTTTTGCCTAGTCTGGTCTTGAACTCCTGGCCTCAAATTATCCTCCCAATGTGACCTCACAATGCACTGGGGTTACAGGCATGAGCCACCATGCAGCCCCTACAAAATCTAACTGTTCTCCAGGTGCTTCTTTTGGACCTCCTAGCTAGACTGCCAGTGGCAAATACTGTTTATTATTTTCCAGCATTTATGTTAATGGATTTCCCAGGTTTTACTTGTCTAGGGTAGGGTTTCTCAGCAGCACTATTGATGTTTTGGGCTGGAGAATTCTTTGTTATGGGGCTGTCTGTGCCTCGCAGGGTATTCAGCAGCATCCCCAGCCTCCGCCTGCCACACGCTAGTAACATTCCTCAGGTGTGACAGCCAAAGTGATCTCAGATATTGCCAAATGTTCCCAGGGAGACAAAGTCACCTCCAGGTGAGAACTGCTGACCTGAAAACCTCTGGAACAATGTTAGATCACGGGGATGATCCACACACTGCTCCTGACCTTACTGGGAATACCTCTAGTATCAAAGTATAGTGGTACCCGCATCCTACTGTCTGGGCTGCTATATCACTATACTGTATTAGTCCATTCTCATGCTGCTCTGAAGAAATACCCACGGCTGGGTAATTTATAAGAAAAGAGGCTTAACTGACTCACAGTTCTGCAGGGCTGGGAAGGCCTCAGGAAACTCACAATTATGGCAGAAAACACCTCTCCACGGAGGAGCAGGAGCGAGAAATAGAACCAAGCAAAGGGGAAAGCCTGTTATAAAACCATCAGATCTCCCGAGAACTCACTATCACGAGAACAGAGTGAGAGAAACCACCCCCAGGATTCAATTACCTCCACCTGTTCCCAGCCCACACGTGGGGATTATTACAGTTCAAGGTAAGATTTGGGTGGGACACAGCCAAACCGAATCATATCCTTCACATTAGCATACTGTATCAAAGTATAATTTTCTTTTTCTTTGAGACAGAGTCTTGCTCTGGCTGGAGTGCAGTGGCACGATAGTTCACTGCAACCTGTGCCCTCCGAGTTCAAGCAATTCTTCTGCTTCAGCCTTCCAAGTAGCTGGAACTTCAGGTGTGAGCCACCATGCCTGGCTAATTTTAATTTTTTTTTTTTTTTTTTTTTTTTTTTTTTTTTTTTAGTAGAGATGGGGTTTCATCATGTTGACCAGGCTGGTGTCAAACTCCTGGCCTCAAGTGGTCTGGCCACTTCAACCTCCCGAAGTGCTGGGATTACAGGCATGAGCCACCGCACCCAGCCTGAATTATAATGTTCACAATGTGAAAAGCATGACTTTCATACAAAGAATGAAGGAATATGTATAAGACATTTTTTTTCATTCATAAGGGAGTCAGCAACCGGTGAAGCTACTTCAAGGGTCCAGTGAGCTGAGAGACAGTGTCTGTAGTGCTCCAGGGAGGGCATTCTGAAATGCATTCTGACACAGAGACAAACTTGTTAATATCCTATAGGGAGGCCGGGCACGGTGGCTCACGCCTGTAATCCCAGCACTTTGGGAGGCTGCGGCGGGCAGATCACCTGAAATCAGGAGTTCAAGACCAGCCTGGCCAACATGGTGAAATCCTGTCTGTACTAAAAATAAGAAAATTAGCCAAGCACGGTGTCGGGCACCTGTAGTCCCAGCTACTTGGGAGGCTGAGGCAGGAGAATTGCTTGAACCCAGGAGACATAGGCTGCAGTGAGCCAAGATCATGCTACTGCAGTCCAGCCTGGGCAACAGAGCAAGATTCTGTCTCAAAAAAAAAAAAAAATCCTATAGAGACATAAAACTTCCATCTTTGGGAGTTTTCTACTGGACAGAAATCTGTAAGTTAACATATATATATTCTCAAGTGTATTCATATTGTCAAGTATATTTCCATACATTAGTGGTTTTCAAAGCATGGTCTCAAATTGGAAGCATCAGCGCCACCTGGGAACATAGAAATGCAATGCTCAGGACCCACCTGGGTCCTGTTGAATTAGAAACTCTGGTGTAGGGCCAGCAGCGAGACTTTCCACAAGCCCTGCAGTGACTATCATGCACACTAATGTTTGACAACCACTGCTCTAAATAGTCAAATAATCTGTAAAACAAATATCTATGAAACAATGCTTTAAAAAAGGACACAACACAAACCTTTTTATCTTATTTCTGAATTTAATTATTTTGTGTGATGTTAAATTTGTTGTTTTGTTTTTCAACTTAAGGAAGTTTTCATCTGTTCCTAATTTTCTCTTTTTAAATAAAAATGGTTTTCCAAATCTATTTTTCTCTCTCTCTTTTTTTTTTTTTTTTTTTTTTTTGAGACAGAGTCTTTTTCTGTCGCCAGGCTGGAGTACAGTGGCACAATCTCGGCTCACTGCAACCTCCACCTCCCAGGTTCAAGCGATTCTTCTACCTCAGCCTCCCGAGTAGCTTGGACTACAGGTGTGTGCCAAACGCCCAGCTAATTTTTGTATTTTTAGTTCACCATGTTGGCCAGGATGGTCTCGACCTCTTGACCTCGTGATCCACACGCCTCAGCCTCCCAGAGTGCTGGGATTACAGGCGTGAGCCACTGCACCTGGTCCATTTTTCTCTTCTTTATCCTACTGATAGGACAAAATGAAAGTTGAGCCATTCTTACATGGTTTTTTGTTTTGTTTTGTTTTTTGAGATGAAGTCTCACTCTGTCACCCAGGCTGCAATGCAGTAGTGCGATCTCAGCCCACTGCAACCTCCACCTCCCAGGTTCAAGCGATTCTCGTGCCTCAGCCTCCTGAGTAGATGGAATTATACGCACCTGCCACTATACCCTGCTTTTTTTTTTTTTTTTTTTAGCAGAGACAGGGTTTTGCCATGTTGGCCAGGCTGGTCTTGAACTCCTGATCTCAGGTGATCTGCCTGCCTCGGCCACCCAAAGTGCTAGGATTACAGGTGTGAGCCACCGCGCCCAGACTTTTTTCTTTTTTTTTTTTTGAAATGGTCTCATTATGTCACCCAGGTTGCAGTACAGTGGCGCCATCATGGCTCACTGCAGCCTCCATCCCCCAAGCTCAAGAGATCCTCTCGCCTCAGCCTCTTAGGTAGCTGGGACGACGGGTATGCACCAGCGCAAGTGGCTAATGTTTTGTAGACGCTGGGGTCTCCCTATGTTGCCCAAGCTGGTCTAGAACTATTGGGCTCAAGTGATCTGGCCTTGGCCTCCCAAAGTGCTATGATTACAGGTCTTATGTTCTTAAAATTTTTCTTTGACATGATATAGTAACTTAACATACTGTTGTTTTCAACAGGCTAGTGTTTTTGATTTGTAAAAGAACTCTTCAGAAATGAGCTCATTTTTACCATGAATTGGGACATTCTCCATTTCTTCGTATTTTATAGAGCAGTTTAATTGTCATGGGATCTGTCTTTTGAAAGCTTGAAAGCCTGAAACAATAAAGCCAGCTGCACCTGGTGCATGGGATAGGCATGGAATTGAGGAGAGCATGCAAACTGCAGTCAGCCCTCTGTATCCTCAGGTTCTGGATCCTTGGATTTAACCAACTGTGCATCAAAATTATTCGGAAAAAGTAAAACAATAAAAAAAATTTCAAAATACTTTTTAACAGCTATTTACAAACCGTGTACCTTGCATTAGGCATTATCGCAATCTAGAGATGATTTAAAGTCTACAGAACGATGTGCATAGGTTATATGCAAGTACTATGCCACATTACATCAGGGACTCGAGCATCTGTGAATTTTGGTATCTCTGAGGTCCTGGAACCAATATCTTGAGGTTGTTAAGCGACGACCGTATTTGATTTCTTCTTTGGTTATTAGGCTAGTCTCTAATGTATTTTTGTTGTTTTGTCTTTTTGTTTTTGCCTCTTCAAATCAATGTCGGAAAGTTAACTTTTTGTAGACTACTCATTTGCTCAAAGTCACCCGTAAGCAGACTACCGCTGCAATCTAAGCAACCGATTCTTTTCCCCATCCCATGGGCAAACATTAAGATAAGCTTCTATTGATGTCGAAGTCGTAGGGAGTTTTCCTGAGCATGTAAATGATGACAGCCCTTTTCCCTGGACGCTTAGAGGATTCATCAAAATGAAATAAAATACACACGCACTTGAAGAAGATATCTGGTTATTTCCTAATCTGGGTGCTGGTTATGTGAGGTCTACAGTTTATGAAAACTTAAAAAGTTTACATTTATAATATATACAGTTTTCTGTATGTGTATATTTCAAGTTTTCAAAATACGTCTTTTGCCACAGCCCGCAGCTGTGCATAATGGCATTTGCTTAATAGTGGAAAACATGGCAATGACCTGGAACCCTAGCTCCCGGGATCCTACCCGCTTAAGTTAAATGAAATAACTTCCGCGGTCTCTCCTAATGCCTGCATTCGGACCTCTGTTAAACTGCCGGTTAGCGCCGGTTTTTTCCCGGGAAGGGTTCTGGGAGACGGAGGAGACGCAGCAGTTCGCCCTCGCCACCTCCAGGGGGCGGCGGTCCGCTCCCAGCCACACTCGAGCAGGCCCCGCCCACCCAGAGGCCGTGACTCCAAGTCAAGTGACCGTGGAATCAGCTGACCCGGCGCGAGCGGAAAAAGGAATTACCCGGCGCGGGCTTCCTGGCGCGATGGTGAGGCACCGGGGTGAAGCGAGGCCTGGGCTGCTGGAGCGGGAATGAGGGGGCGCCGGTGGCTCCGGAAACGGGGGAGGTTGTCTCCACTGGCCTCTCCGCAAACACAGGGTGTGCGGGCGTGAGGACTGCGAGTCTGGTAGAGAAAAGTCCGCGGCCGCCGGTTCCCGCGACGCGGGCGAGTAAGACAGCGCGGCCGGCGGCTTAGAGTCCCCTTGCCTCCCTGGCGGACGGAAGGGCCCCTGCCTCCCGGGGCAGGAACTGGGGCTTGTCTGGAGCTGGAGTCCTTTCAGGTCTTCCGCAGCCCCAAGAGGACCTTCCAAGGACGCCCACTTGCCCACCCCTGCTGTGGGACTTGGACAGGAGCGTGCTTAGAATCAGGCTCCCTCTTCCATACTGTTGGGAAGCCGCTCCGCTCCTTCCAGAGCCAGAAAGTAGTAGTACTTGGGTTGAGACTCATCCATCCATCCACCCACCCACCCACCCACCCACCCGTACGTTCTGAGCGCCGCGTCTATACCATGCAGTGTGCTGGGCACTGGGAGGACCTCAGCTGCCGAGGGAATTGGCAGTCATAGTTAAGGCTCTCGGGACAGAGACCTAACTGCGCCTTGTGTGTAGGGTTAAGGCGGCTTCCTGAGGATGACTTCAACCTTAAAGGGGGATGGCAGGAGCTGGCTGGCTGAAGCACAGTTTCTGTCCCAGGGGTTGGGAGGTAAGGGTGTGAGGCGTGTGTCTTCAGACAGGGAACAGCATGTGCAGAGACTTAGGTCTGAGAGAGAGCATGGCTCCCCAGCAATGAATGCATGTCATATAGCTGGGAGAGTATCATCTGGAGGTTAGTGAAAGATGAGGCTGGACAAGTAAAGACCAAATCTTCCTGGCTCTTGGGTCACCACAATCAAAATAATGAGTATATCGACTGGCCCCAAAATTTCCTTGTGTGAGGGGCTATTTTAGGAAGTATGATCAAGAAGGGCCAGTCTTCCCAGGTGCGGTGGCTCACGCCTGTCATCCCAGCACTTTGGAAGGCTGAGGAGGGTGGATCACCTCAGGTCAGGAGTTCGAGACCAGCATGGCCAACGTGGTGAAACCCTGTCTCTACTAAAAATACAAAATTAGCTGGGTGTGGTGGCTCATGCCTGTAATCTCAGCTATTCAGGAGGCTGAGGCAGGGGAATCGCTTGAACCAGGGACTTAGAGGTTGCAGTGAACTGAGATAGAGCCATTGCACTCCAGCCTGGGCAAGAAGAGCGAAACTCCATTAAAAAAAAAAAAAATTAGCCAGGGGTGGTGGTGCTTGCCGGTAGTCCCAGCTACACCGGAGGCTGAGGCAGGAGAATCGCTTGAATCCGGGAGGTGGAAGTTGCTGGGAGCCGAGATAATGCCATTGTCCTCCATTCTGGGTAACAGAGTGAGAGAGACTCCGTCTTCTTTCTTTCTTTCTTTCTTTTCTGAATCAGAGTTTGGCTCTTGTTGCCCAGACTGGAGTGCAGTGGCTGATGTCGGCTCACTGCAACCTCTGCCTCCCGGGTTCAAGCGATTCTCCTGCCTCAGCCTCCTGAGTAGCTGGGACCACAGGCATGCATCACTATGCCTGGCTAATTTAAAAAAAATTTTTTTTTCTTTTGAGACAGTCAAGCTTTGTTGCCCAGGCTGGAATGCAGTGGCAGGATCTCAGCTCACTGCAACTCCACCTCCCGGGTTCAAGCAATCCTCCTGCCTCATTCCCCTTAGTAGCTGGGATTACAGGCACGCACAACCATACCTGGCTAATCCTTGTATTTGTAGTAAGTAGAGACAGGGTTTCGTCATGTTGGCCAGGCTGTTCTCGAACTCTTGACCTCAGGTGATCCACCTGCCTCAGCCTCCCAAAGTGCTGGGATTACAGCCATGAGCGTGTTTTTTTGTTTGTTTGTTTAAGAAGGGCTTGTCTGATGATGTGTCACTTGAGCAGAGGCTGGGATGAAATAAAGGATAGCAAGCCACACAGAGTGTAGCAGGCATGGAGGCAGAGCAAGGCTGGTGTCCCTGAGCAGCAGCAGGGAAGCTGGAGTGGCTGGAGCTGTGTGGATCTGGGGAAGAGGGGAGAGAGGTCCCTCGTGTCTGTGAGGCCCAGGACTCTGTTTTATCCCCTGCTGTACCCACAGCCCTTAGAGTGGGAGCTAGCACAGAGAAGGCGCTCAGTTGATGTTCGCTGAGCAGATAAATGCCTGCAATAGACCTCAGCAGGGTTTGGTGGCAAAGCGGGTCAGGCAGAGTTTACTGAACAGCCTGGTGATAGGGGAGAACAAGTGGCCAGAGGGTATTCATCTGTGACAGGGACCAGGGGTCTGTGCTGGGCAGCACTGTGGGAGACACACACGGATCCTGGCCACACCTCAGCCCTCCCTCCAGCCTGATGACCTGCCTCCCTCCCTTGCAGAGGTTCCGGTTCTGTGGCGATCTGGACTGTCCCGACTGGGTCCTGGCAGAGATCAGCACACTGGCCAAGATGGTTGAGTGCACAGGGTCTACTCTGGGGGGAGGAGGGGCGTTGGGGCTGGGGATTGTGGGTGTAGAGGATGGTGAGGTTTCTCTGGGGTTAGGACCTCAGTGCTCTCAGCCTGTGCTACCATGCTTTGTGATACTGATCAGCAGCTGGCCTGCTCTGAGCCAGTGCCTAGGAAGGTGGGGTGAGGTATGACAGCCTGGCTGATAAGAGGACTTCCCTTCCAGTCCTCTGTGAAGTTGCGGCTGCTCTGCAGCCAGGTACTAAAGGAGCTGCTGGGACAGGGGACTGATGTGAGTAAAGACCCAGCACCCTATTGCCCACGACCTTATGACCCCCACTGCCCTCAAACTCTTCACCAGGCCCGGGGAGACGGGTGACCCATCCTCTCAGCCTCTCTGGGCATCTTCCATCCTTCTTTCCAGCCTGTCTGCTCCTTACAGGATCAGACAGGCTTGGAGTGAGGGGCTGGTGATCAGGGGCCTGGCACCCCCTGAAGTTCTCCTTTCCCCATAGTATGAGAAGATCCTGAAGCTCACGGCTGACACCAAGTTTGGTGAGTACCCTGCTGAGTCCACAGGTCCTCGGCAACCCTGGGAACTCGGCATGGTGCTTGGTACAGAGGGGCCCACCCATCTCTCCCAGCAGCGTCCTTAACCTACCTTCCCTAGTGGAAGAGCATGAGGGAAAGAAAGACATTGACAGTACCAACCCGACCCCCCACACTCCCCACCACCAGCTCCTTGTGGGGCAGTAGCAGTGCCTGTGGCTCAGGAGGCCTGGGGGCTTTGAGCTGAAAACAGTAGGGCAATAGGGAGGTGGCTGGGCCACAGTGACACCCCCTGCCCCTCCCACGGGTCCCTCAGAGTCCGGCGATGTGAAGGCCACAGTGGCAGTGCTGAGCTTCATCCTCTCCAGTGCGGCCAAGCACAGTGTTCATGGCGAATCCTTGTCCAGTGAACTGCAGCAGCTGGGGTTGCCCAAAGGTACGGGTTGTGGGTGGGCAGCTGGGCAGCCTGTGGGCCGAGGGCTGCTAGAGAGCGGACCAGGCCCTGTGACCCTGAGCTGTACCCTGCCCTTTCTGGGCCAGGAGCCTGAGACCTGCCTTTGAGCAGCCCGAGCCCAGCCCCCACCTGCTACCTCCAGAGCTCCTCCATTCCACCTGCAGAGCACGCGGCCAGCCTGTGCCGCTGTTACGAGGAGAAGCAAATTCCCTTGCAGAAGCACTTGCGGGTCTGCAGCCTCCACAGTAAGTATGAGGCCAGCCAGGGTAGGCTTCAGGCTCATTCTCGAAGGGGCATGCAGCATGCAAAGTGCTAGCTCCAGGGAGACGACTTAACCAAGGTGACATACTGAGCAGCCGCAGAGCTGGGGCCTGGCCCTGGTTCTCCTGTCTCCAGCTAAGGTTTCTTGCCATTGAGGTCTGCTGTACGTGATCCAGATTCCTGACTGTTGGGCACCTGCCGTGTTCTGAGCCTGGGTCAGGGAGATGGGAGCTTCTTCGAGGCCACACAGCCTTTCAGGGTTGAGGGCTGAGCCAGGGTGTGGGCTGAGGGCCACTGGCTTTCCTGCCTTTGATCCTGAGAGCCACCCACCTCGTCTCCCAGCAAATAGGTTGGCAGGTGTGGGCTGGCGGGTAGACTACACCCTGAGCTCCAGCCTGCTGCAGTCTGTGGAAGAGCCTATGGTGCACCTGCGCCTGGAGGTGGCAGCTGCCCCAGGTACCCCAGCCCAGCCTGTTGCCATGTCCCTCTCAGCAGACAAGTTCCAGGTCCTCCTGGCAGGTGAGATTCAGCTATTCTTGGAGGGTTAAGGGTTCCTCCCAGATCCTGTCTGACTGCCTCCCACCTGCCCACCTCTTTCCTCTGCAGAGCTGAAGCAGGCCCAGACCCTGATGAGCTCCCTGGGCTGAGGAGAAGGGAGTTACAGGCCTGTGTGGAGCCGCCTTAACCTATACGGAGTCATGCTGTCTGCACTGCTCTTCAGGAGGTGCCTGGCTTCTAGGAAACTGGGGCCCTAGCTGGGCTCTGGCCTCCCAGATCCCGGCTGCCTGACTTCTCTCTTGAGAGCTCGGCTTAGGGCTCCTGAGGACCTTTCCCAACATTCCCTTCCCTTCCCTTGAAAGGCAGTTGTTGGCCGTTTTCGTGAGCAGGAAAAATAAACAGAAGCAAAAGGAATGTGTACAGGGGTTTCTGTTTGGGTTCAGATCAAGGGTTTTTGTGAGAGAAACGAAAGTGACCTACCGGCCTCCTTGGTCCATCACTCATTTTCTTTTGTCAGTTGCTGATCGAGGCAGGCCACAGGTGAGGCAGACTGAGCACCGAAATGCATCTGCTTGTCTGTTGCGAGGAAATCAGGGTTCTGGCTCCCAAATATGGGATGTTCTTGGCTCTGCTGCCTTTGCCCTCTGGCCCTGTTCTCAGGCTGGCACCACATTGGTGTCCCCAAAGCCAAATGCCCCTTGTAGAGAAAGGAGATTGCCCTTGTTTCACTGCCATCTTTTTTTTTTTTTGAGATGGAGTCTCGCTCTGTCGCCAGGCTGGAGTGCGGTACCATGATCTTGGCTCGCTGCAACCTCCGCCTCCTGATTTCAAGCAATTCTGCCTCAGCCTCCCAAGTAGCTGGGGCTACAGGCGCTCAGTACCATGCTGGCTAATTTTTGTATTGCTAATAGAGACAGGGTTTTGCCATGTTGGCAAGGATGATCTCAATCTCTTGACTTTGTGATCCGCCCACCTCAGCCTACTGCCGTCTTTAGGAAGAGAGAGGTGACCATGTCTGAACCACTCATAGGCAAGAGGATCGGTGTTACGGACCGAATGTTCACGTTCCTCCAAACTTCCTATGCTGAAGCCTCTGTTCACATGCACGTACCAGGTAAGGGCCATGTGAGCACACAGCGAGAAGGTAGCTGTCTACAAGGCCAGGAAGAGGGCTGTCCACAGGAACTGAGTCTGCTGGCACCTTGATCTTGAACTGCCCAGCCTCCAGAACTGCAGGAAGAAATCTGTGCTATAAGCCACCATTCTGCGGTATTGTTACAGCAGCTCAAGAAGACTAAGGCAGATGGGATCCCAGGAGTGGCCCAGGCCAGCCAGGTCTCCTTGTAGAAAAGGCCAATGCCAAGGTTGGCACACAAAGGTGTGAGGAGGACTTGCCTGCAGTATCTTGTGTAAGGAACCTATCAGAATAATGGTTTGCTCCCCTGGCCAAAGATGGGGCAATTTGAACATCGAAAGAGGAAAGTACTGACCCCACTCCTGACTTCTGCTTCTGGGAAAATGAAGTAGGTCTTTTCCCTGTTCCTCTCCCTAAGTACAGTTAACAACCCTGGATGTTACATGTAAAACAAACAGAAAGACTGAGCGACGGAGAACAAGACAGCCTAGCCTGGCTGGGATCCTCAGGACGTGAGACTCCGCACAGCAGAGAAATTTCTGAAATCTGGACCCCACGGCCCAGTCAAGGTGACACAAAACTGATCATCACAGAGCTGTGGGATATACAAAAGGCTAACACTCATGATTACAGAGTCCCAGAAGATAAGAGGGAAGAGAGTGGAATGAAAGAAGTATTCAGAGAAATAATAACTAAAGGCCAGGTGCAGTGTTCATGCCTGTAATCCCAGCACTTTGAGAGGCTGAGGTGGGAAGACTGCTTTAGACCTTGCAGCCAGCCTGAGCGACATAGGGAGAAGTCTCTACAAAAAATAAAAATAAAATATTAGCTAGGCATGGTGGTGCATGCCTGTAGTCTCAGCTACTCAGGAGGCTGAGGCAGGAGGACCAATCACTTGAGTCCAGGAGTTTGAGGTTGCAGTGAGCACTCCAGCCTGGGTAACAGAGCTGAGACCATGTCTCAAAAAAAAAAAAAAAAAAAAAAAAGGTGGTATATATACACAGTGGAATACTATTCGGCCTTTAAAAAGCAGAAGGTTCTGTCGTTTGTGACATGGATGAACCTAGAGGACATCATACTGAGTGAAATAAGCCAGGCACAGAGAGAGAAATACCACATCACCTCACTTATGCCTGGAATTGAAGAAAAGGCCTGGGGCAGTGGCTCACACCTGTAATCTCGGCACTTTGGGAAGCCAAGGTGGGAGGATCACTTGAGCCCAGGAGTTCAAGACCAGGCTGAGCAACATGGTGAACCTGTCTCTACCAAAAATTTAAAAAATTAGCCAGGTATGGTGGCACATGCCAGTAGTTCCAGCTACTTAGGAGGCTGAGGTGGGAGGATTGCTTGAGCCAGGGAGGTAAAGGCTGCAGTGAGCCATGATAGTGCTGCTGTACTCCAACCTGAGTGACAGAATGAGACCCTGTCCCCGCAAAAGAGTTGAATTCATAGAAGTCACCAGTAGAACGGTGGTTAGCAAAGGCTGGAGGAGAAAGGAGGTGGGTTGCGGGGGAAGGGGTGCGAAGTTCCAGTTAGGAGGAGTAAGATCTGGTGATTTGTTGCACAGCATGAGGACTATAGTTAATAACGATGTATATTTCAAAATAGCTAAAAGTGGGTTTTAAATGTTCTCATCACAAAGAAATGATAAATATGAGAGGTAACTGATATATCTTTTTTTGTTATTTTTTGTTTTTTCTTGAGACAGGGTCTCACTCTGTTGCCCAGGCGGGAGTGCAGTGGCACAGTCTTGGCTCAGTGCAATCTCCGCCTCCCGAGTTCAAGTGATTCTCTTGCGTCAGCCTCTGGAGTAGCTGGGACTACAGGCATGCACCACCACACTCAACTAATCTTTTGTATTTTTTGTAGAGACAGGGTTTCACCATGTTGGCCAGCCAGGTGATCTACCTGCCTTGGCCTCCAAAGTGCTGGGAATACAGGCATGAGCCACTGCTCCCAGCCAATTTGATTATTCCATATTATATACATATAACAAAACACAGCGTACCTCATAAATGTATACAGTTGTTATTATTAAAAATATAGATAAACTGATATTCTAAAAACTGTTCAACGAGACCACAGTTGGGCAACAAGAAAGAAAAATGAAAACAGGAAATAAATAAAAACAGTGATAAAAAAATCACAAGGAGACTAGCCTGGGAAGCCTGGCGAAACCCCATCTCCATGAAAAATACAGAAATTAGTTGGGTGTGCTAGTGTTCACTGTTGTCCCAGCTACCCAGGAGGCTGAGGTTGGAGGATTACCTGGGCCCAGGAGTTCGAGGCTGTAGTGAACCATGATCGCACCGCTGCACTCCAGTCTTGAGTGACAGAACAAGACCCTGTCTCAAAAAAAAAAGGAAATAAAACAGTTTATCCTGCCTTTTTAGTCAGGATAACCAAATAGCCCTGGTCAGTGAGGTAAAGCTGTACTTGACAGATGGATTCTATCAAATATATGAAGAATGACAATTAGAAAATCACTATTTCAGGCTGGGCACGGTGGCTCATGCCTGTAATCCCAACCCGCTGGGAGGCCAAGGTGGCTGGATTGCTTGAAGTCAGGAGTTGGAGACCAGTCTTGGCAACATGACGAAACCCCATCTCTACTGAAAACACAAAAAATTAGGCATGGTGGCCCCCATGTGTAATCCCAGCTACTGGGAGGTCGAGGCTGCAGTGAGCCAAGATTGTGCCACTGCACTTCAACCTGAACAACAGAGCGAAGCCTTTCTCAACAACAACAAAAACCTAAAACTTTATTTTCTTTTGAGACGGGATCACAAAGCTAATTTTTGTATTCTTAGTAAAGACGGGGTTTTACCATGTTGGCCAGGCTGCTCTGGAACTCCTGGCCTCAAGTGATTCACCTGCCTTGGCCTCCCAAAGTGCTGGGATTACAAGCGTGAGCCACTCTGCCCGGCCAAAAACCCGAAACTATATTCATTGAACAGGAACTACCCATTTCCTCCTCCTTCCCAGTTCCTGGCAACCACCATTCGACCTGCTGCTTCTATGTGTTTGACTATTTAGATACTTCATAAAAGTGGAAGAATGAAGTATTTGTCCTTCTGTGACCAACTCATTTAGTGCAGTGCCTTCGAGGTTACCCATGTTGTTGCATGTGGCAGTATTTCCTTTTTGTTGTTGTTTAGACGGAGTCTTGCTCCGTCGCCCAGGCTGGAGTGCAGTGGGACGATCTCAGGTCACTACAACCTCTGCCTCCCAGGCTAAAGCGATTCTCCTGCCTCAGCCTCCCAAGTAGCTGGGATTACAGGCACACACCACCAAGCCCAGCTAATTTTCGTATTTTTAGTAGAGACAGAGTTTCACCACATTGGTCAGGATGGTCTCGAACTCCTGACCTCATGATCCGCCTGCCTCCCAAAGTGCTGGAATTACAGGTGTCAGCCACCATGCCCAGCCAGTATTTCGTTTTTTTAAAGGCTGGATAATATTCCATTGTATACCACATTTTGGGGGTCGGGGTAAGGCAGGGATGGGGATGAGGTCTCACCCTGTCATCCAGGCTAGAGTGCAGTGGTATGATCACAGCTCACTGTCGCCTCCTACTCCTAGGCTCAAGAGATCCTCCACTACAGCCTCTGGAGTAGCTGGGACTACAGATGCATTCCACTATGCTCATTCTTTTTTTTTTTTTTTTTTTTTTTTTTGAGATGGCGTTTCGCTGTTGTTACCCAGACTGGAGTGCAATGGCACGATCTCAGCTCACCACAACCTCCGCCTTCTGGGTTCAAGCAACTCTCCTGCCTCAGCCTCCCGAGTAGCTGGGACTACAGGCGCACACCACCATGCCCAGCTGATTTTTTTGTATTTTTAGTAGAGATGGGGTTTCACCTTGTTGACCAGGATGGTCTCGATCTCTTGACCTTGTGATCCACCCACCTCGGCCTCCCAAAGTGCTGGGATTATAGGCGTGAGCCACCACGCCCGGCCTGCTCATTCTTTTTTTGTATAGACATGGAGTGTCCCTGTGTTGCCCAGGCCAGTCTTGAACTCGTAGGCTCAAGCGATCCTCCCTTCTTGACCTCCCAAAGTGCTAGATTACATGCATGAGCCACCATGCCCAGCCTATATAAAATAAGCACATCAAAAAAATCTGTTGACCTGTTGATGGACATTGAGGTTGTTTCCACATCTTGGGAACAATGCTGCAATGTGTGTTACGTCTTGACTGTGTCGGCAGTTACATGACTGTATTTGTCAAATACTGCAGTCAGAAAGGGGTAAATTTTACTATATGTAAATTATACCTTGATTTAAAGAGAACAACAAAGAAATTGCTCCATAGATTATTTGGTGGTCACAAGGTATGAAGCATACATTTTCTTTCTTTTTGAGACGGAGTTTCACTCTTGTTACCCAGGCTGGAGTGCAATGGCGCGATCTCGGCTCACCGCAACCTCTGCCTCCTGGGTTCAGGCAGTTCTTCTGCCTCAGCCTCCTGAGTAGCTGGGATTACAGGCACGCGCCACCATGCTCGGCTAATTTTTTGTATTTTTTTAGTAGAGTTGGGGTTTCACCATGTTGACCAGGATGGTCTCCATCTCTTGACCTCGTGATCCACCCGCCTCGGCCTCCCAAGAAGCATACATTTTCTAATGCAGAGGTCCGGCTGCCACAGCCCCAGTCTTACCAATTTCAGCCCCCATTAAAGTGGGACAACAGGCTATTGGGTGCCTCCTGATACGAAGCAATTCAAAGTATGAAGCAGTGGCTCCTCTCTATAATCCCAGCACTTTGGGAGGCCAAGGCAGGCGGATCACCTGAGGTCAGGAGTTGGAGACCAGTCTGGCCAACCTGGAGAAGAAACCCTGTCTCTACTAAAAATACAAAGATTAGCTGGGAGTGGTGGTACATGTCTGTTATCGGGACATGTACTCGGGAGGCTGAGGTAGGAGATTCGCTTGAACCCAGGAGACAGAGGTTGCAGTGAGCCGAGATTGCGCCATTACACTCTAGTCTGAGTGACAGAGCGAGACTCCATCTCAAAAAACAAAGTATGGAGCAGCACTTAGGAAGTATCCCTGAATTCATAAATAATCAGGCCTTTAGATCTAATTCCCAGCATGCAGGATGAACCACAGAGGTTCAGTCTGTGACAGTATCAGTGACACCCTGAGGATACATTCAGACAAATTCAGAATGTGATGCAGCATCTTACGTCAAAGGACAACTGGCTGAGACCCTTCAGAAACGTATCATGAAGACAATAAAAAAGGCAGGATGAAGTGGGTGGGAGAGGGGAAGGTAGTTCATCTAGATTTAAAATTATAGGCTGGGTGCAGTGGCTCACGCCTATAATCCCAGCACTTTGGGAGGCCGAGGCGGGTGGATCACAAGGTCAAGAGATGGAGACCATCCTGGTCAACGTGGTGAAACCCCACCTCTACTAAAAATACAAAAATTAGCTGGATATGGTGGTACGCGCCTATAGTCCCAGCAACTCAGGAGGCTGAGGCTCACTTGAGCCTGGAAGGTCGGTGGCTGCAGAGAGCCATGATTGTTGCCTGGTGGACAGAGCGAGACCCTGATATGTGTGTGTGTGTGTGTGTGTGTGTGTGTGTGAGATTGGGACAATTAGGGGAAATCTGGATGTGGATTATTAGATAATATTAAGAATTACTGTTGGCTGGGCATGGTGGCTCACTCCCATAATCCCAGCACTTTGGGAGGCTGAGGCAGGCAGATCACTTGAGGTCAGGAGTTCAAGACTGGCCTGGCTAACATGGCAAAACCATCTCTACTAAAAATACAAAAATTAGCTGGGCATGGTGGCACATGCCTGTAATCCCAGCTACTCAGGAGCCTGAGGCAGGGGAATCGCTTGAACCCAAAAAGTGGAGGTTGCAGTGAGCCAAGATTGTGCACTGTACTCCAGCCTGGGTGATACAGTGAGACCCTGTCTCAAAAAAGGAAGTTATTGTTAACTAATATCTACTATCTCAGATATTGTCAACTAATATCAAGTTATTGTTAACTCCATTTATTTTGGCAGAGGTATTTTCAAGTAAATTAGACAATTCATGACATTACATGCCCAGTACTTTAACATGCATCTTTAAAAAACAATTTTACAAAGCCACATAATTTTTATTATGCCTAATAAAGAGAGGAAGGTTAAGCAGGGAAGTGTGAAGGAGGGGAAATTGTGGCGATGGGTCAGGCACACAGTTAGAATGAAGTGCAGACCCCACACGGAGGCCCTCCCGAGGCCCAGCCAGACCTGACTGGGGCCCTGTTTCCTTCTCTCTCCACCTCCTGGCACTACTCCAGCCACACAGGATCTGGAGTTCTTTCAGTGGCCAATCTCTTTCTACCCTCAGGGCCTTTGCACTGGCTGTTCCTTCCGCCCGAGTGTCTGTCGGGTTTCCTACTTTTTGCGGGCTGGCGCATTTCAGAGACTCTCCCCGCAGAACCGTCTGAAGTGGGTCTACCTCCCCGCCTTTTTTTTGTTGCTTGGCTGCCCTTCCGACCCGGCAGGCAGTGACGATGTTTGTTTATGAGTTGGGTCTAACTGTGCGTTGGTGCTTAGGGTCCCCAGTGCGTCCTTAGGGCCTGCGCGCACTGCGCACCTGTGCACACCCTGCGCGCAGCTGCAGGCGACTCCGCTCGGGCTCGTCGCTGCTGTTTCCTGCTGGGGGTGCCAACCCTGTCCCAGGCTAGCAGGGTGACTTCCCCCAACCGCAGACAGGGGCGACCCGGGGCCTCAGACCTGCTCCCGCATCCGCTGGCGCCGGGCAGTGGGAAGCCAGGTTTCTCCGCCATCTCCCAGCCAGGTAACTGCCCCGAAGCCTGCCCCACAGCCTTCAGCCCCCGAGCTCGGGAACCTCACCTCGAAGAGTTGCCACCGCCTCCCTACACTTCCCAGCGAGGGACTACACTTCCCAGCGATTCCCAGCGCGCTCCCGGGCACCGCCTCTCCTGGCGTTAACCCTTTAGTGGCTGCAGTGGCGGCGAGCGGAACGGAGTGCCGGTTCCCGGGGTGGGGGCGTGCAGGATCGACGTGCGGAGGTGCGCTGTAGGGCTGAGAGGATGGACTTTGAAGGGCCCTGAGGAGAAGAGGAGTCAGGATTAACCGAGGACAGGGTCTCAGCGGGAGCATGGGGAGGGCGGGCCCTAGAGCGCCGCTCCTCCCCAAAACTAGGAATCTGGAGCCTTAGGTTCTCCCTCAAAACAAGCCCTGCGGGCCCCAGGCCCGGGTCGGCGCCCAGGTGCGGGGACGGCGAGGTACAGGCGTCTCCCGTCGCTAAGTGCCCCCTTCCACTCGAGGTACACCTTCGCGTCCCATCCAGAACCGTCCGGCGACAGAGGCAAAGCGGAGAGGGCGAAGGTGAGGAGTGGATACCCCCACCCCAGGCACCAGACGCTGCCCCGGGCCCTTAACCTACCCCGGGCCCGGGGCCAGAGCTCGGGGAGCCCTTCCTGGTGCCCGCTCTCCTCCTGCGGAGCCGTGGGGGCGGCTCCAGCACACGGTGGCATCCCCGCTTCGTCCTGGGCCCTGCCCTGGCCCGGGGGTGGACGCGGGAGTGTCCGGCCCGTGGGGCAGGCCCGGGGATCGCTGCGGCGGAGGGTCGGATCCCGCAGCTGCCCCGCGCCAGGCCGGGCTGCGCTTTTTCCCTGTCTTGTGCCGACAGGTCGGGCGCATCCTTGGTGGGGTGGGGGCTCAGGGAGGGGCGGCCACGCGACCCTAAGACCCTTTCAGATGGTGGGAGGGCCTGGAGAAAGCGACAGCGAGTGCGGAGGGCAGGCTCCCTTAAGTGTCCGGGACAGAGGGACAGCAGGGGCCAAGGCGGAGATGAGAAGAGCCAGTGAGTGAGGGGAGCCGGGAGGAAGCGGGGCGGGAGCCGCGGCCACGCACGGGTTGGAACCTTCCTCTAAACGCGTCAAAAGCTCACGGAAGGAAGCGGTTAGCGGCCCGACTCCCAGCGCCCTGGGCTATCCCAATGTCCCGGGAGGGGACTGGGGGCGGTGGCCAGGCCCGCACTTCCCCGCCAGCCGCAGCTGGCCGCGTGCCCCTCCGACCCTCCGAGTTCTCTAAAAATGGGGCTGACCGCCGCTACCTCACAAGGTCCACGCCGGGCTCATCCTGCTGCCTTCCTCCCCGACAGGACTCCGCCACCCTCCCTCAGGATGCCCGAGGGCCCGGAGCTGCACCTGGCCAGCCAGTTTGTGAACGAGGCCTGCAGGGCGCTGGTGTTCGGGGGCTGCGTGGAGAAGTCCCCCGTCAGCCGCAACCCCGAGGTGCCCTTTGAGAGCAGCGCCTACCGCATCTCGGCTTCCGCACGTGGCAAGGAGCTGCGCCTGACTCTCAGCCCCCTGCCTGGGGCCCAGCCCCCCCAGGAGCCGCTGGCCCTGGTCTTCCGCTTCGGCATGTCTGGCTCCTTCCAGCTGGTTCCCCGCGGGGAGCTGCCACGCCACGCCCACCTGCGCTTTTACACGGCTCCGCCCGGCCCCCAGCTCGCCCTGTGTTTCGTGGACATCCGCCGGTTCGGCCACTGGGATCTTGGGGGCAAGTGGCAGCCGGGCCGCGGGCCCTGCGTCTTGCAGGAGTACGAGCAGTTCAGGTAGGGCCAGCACCAGGTGTGATGAGCATAGTCACGGGCTCCACACCTGGCTCTGTTACTGCCTTGTTGGCCAATGAAGGGCAAGTGTCTGCTGCTTCTCGGCCTCAGTCCCCTTACCTGTAGATCAAGACAGTGTCCCTGTCCTGGGTCAGCTCCCCGAGCCAGTGGATAAGGAAACTCAAAACTAATTGGGGGCTAGGTGTGGCGGCTCACGTCTGTAATCCCAGCACTTTGGGAGGCTGAGGCGGGTGGATCACTTAAGGTCAGGAGGTGGAGACCAGCCTGGGCAACATGGTGAAATACTGTGTCTACTAAAATACAACAATTAGCCAGGCATGGTGGCATTTGCCTGTAATCCCAGCTACTCAGGAGGCTGAGGCAGGAGAATCGCTTGAGCCAGGGATGTGGAGGTCACAGTGAGCCGGGATAGCACCGCTGTACTCCAACAACTCTGTCTCAAAAATTAACTGATGGGGAAGGAGAGAGGAAAGCCAAGCGGAGGATGGGTCGGCACTGCCCTGAGGACAGGTGGCCAGGTAGTGTCAGAGAAGCTGGGGCTCCCACCCTCAATGCCACAGTACCTCTCAGGGCTCCCAGGAGGCTGAGAAGGTGGAGGGGCTTTAACATAAGAGGCTGAGCAGAATTGTTTCAAGGGGGTGGGGAGGGGACTGCCTCATGACACGTTTCCACCTTGGGTTTGTGGTCTCCCACATCCTGCCTGCCCACTGGTCTGTGTCCTGTGGTCTCCTCTGTGCCTCTTCCCTGCCTGCAGGAGGGTGTCACAGCCCCACCTGGGATGTGATGCAGGTCACCTCAGATGGTGCAGTGTTGACAGCTTCTTTCCTCTGAAGAGGAAACATATATGAGTCTGCTTCATGACAGGCCTTGTTCTAAGGGCTCGGGGTACAGCAGTGAACAAGATGAATGTGGTCCCTGCTCCCACAGAACTGATGTTCAGATAGGGTAGGGGAATGAGAAACGGGCAGATGCATGCCTGAGGAAAACCCAACAGGTGAAGGAGGTGGAGGATGACTTGGGCGAGGGTGGGGCTGTACTGGCAGTGGCCACTCTAGGGAGGTGAGCTGAGGCCTGACTGATGAGAATGAGCCAGCCAGAGGAAGAGCATTCAACTGGCAAGAGACGCAGAGGCCCAGAGTGGACTTCTCCCTTTCTGGGGGACATGGTGCTGTTAGTTAGCCCTTAGGAGACACGGATGCCTGTGGGATGGTTCGGGGGTGTCTCCGACGCCTTCAAAGGCAGTGGACTCCTGGCCTCCCCAGACCCCACGCACATTCCCAGGGAAACCTCAGTCTTTGGTCCTGGATTCCTCCCACCTCTGCCTTCCTGGGGAATCATGCCACAAGTAAACTGAGGTTTCTCTCAAACAGTGAGCATTTGCGCTGTTTCCTTAGTGCTTCCGCTGGGGTGTGTGGTGACTGGCTTCCCTCAGGAATCAGGGCACCTCCCAGGAAACCCTTGTACCTTCACCCCAGGACTCTGTCTTCTGGCCCACCCATCACACCCATCAGTCAGTCTTGCCATGACCCTTTCTCTCAAAGAAACAAGATGTGCATCCTCTTCACGGTGGGGAGGAGACCCACAGCCCTTGGAGGCGGGGCGGGGGTTCTAGGGCCCTCACTGGTACCTCACCTATCTGCTGCGCAGAGCCAGAGAATATCCAGGATCCTGAGAAGAGTGGACCCTACCAATGGCAAACCCACATGTAGTCTCACCCACCACCAGTCCTATACAGGGAGCTCCAGACTGCAGACATGAGGTGCTGTGGACAGAGTTCTCATGTCCTGAGGAGTCTGCAGTGATAAACACACAACCTCATATACAACCGCATGCTGCTTTTTTGTTGTTTTTTTTTTTAAGATGGGATCTCCCTCTGTTGCCCAGGCTGCAATGCAGTGGCACCATCACAGCTCACTGTGGTCTCAACCTCCAGGGCTCAGGTGATTCTCCCACCTCAACCTCCTGAGTAGTTGGGACCACCAGGGCACACCACTCAGCCTCTGGCTACTTTGTTAAATTTTTGGTAGCAATGTGGCCTTCCTTGTGGCCTAAGCTGGTCCCCTGGTCTCCAGGGATCCTCCTGCTTCAGCTTCCCAAAGTGCTGGAATTACAGGTGTGAGCCACCACACCAGCCTCGCGTTACTTTTGATCAGCATTTTTCGCCTTTCACAATGAATTTATTTTTGTTTTTATTTTTTGAGATGGAGTCTCACTGTTGCCCAGGCTGGAGTGCAATCGTGCAATCTTGGCTCACTGCAACCTCTGCCTCCCGGGTTCCAGTGATCTGACTCAGCCTCCCAAGTAGGTGGGATTACAGGCACCTCCCACCATGCCCAGCTAATTTTGTATTTTTAGTAGAGACAGGGTTTCCCCACGTTGGCCAGGCTGCTCTCCTGACCTCAAGTGATGTGCCAGCCTCGGACTCCCAAAGTGTTGGGATTACAGGCGTGGGCCACCTCACCCAGCCATCCTTTCACAATGAATTTTAATCCCATATGTTCCCATTTAACAGATAGGAAAACCGAGGCAGGGAGCAGAGGAAGCTCTGGAACTCCCAGCTTCCTTTCCCTTGTACCCAGAAATAGGTTCTCTGAGCCCCTCTCCCCATCCTCTTATGCACCCAGACTGTGTCCCTCCAGGGAGAATGTGCTACGAAACCTATCGGACAAGGCCTTTGACCGGCCCATCTGCGAGGCCCTCCTGGACCAGAGGTTCTTCAATGGCATTGGCAACTATCTGCGGGCGGAAATCCTGTACCGGTCAGCAAGCAGGCATGGGCATGGGGACGGGTGGGCCAGGTGTGTCCACATTCCCCATTGTCTAGCATGGCTTTCCCCCACCGCCACTCCAGGCTGAAGATCCCTCCCTTTAAGAAGGCCCGCTCGGTCCTGGAGGCCCTGCAGCAGCGCAGGCCGGTGAGCCCGAGGGATGGAGCACGTGCTGCCACACTGTGGTGTCCACGCGGGCTGCCAAGCGGATGAGTGGGGTCAGGTGTCCCCAGCTTAGTTCAACAACAGGGGTGGGGAGGGGGTGAATGGCCCAAGGTCCTGCCAAGCTCAGAGGGAAGGTCAGCTGCCTTTACACGGCCCCGTTGACAGGTCCTGCCCCTGCCCCTTCCTCAGAGCCCAGAGCTGACCCTGAGCCAGATCAAGGCCAAGCTGCAGAACCCCGACCTGCTGGAGCTGTGCCACTCAGTGCCCAAGGAAGTGGTCCAGCTGGGTGAGGCCAAAGATGGAATGACCTCTGCTGGAGCAAATTACTGTGTAACCCTGGGGCAGGTGTCCCTCTTTGGGCCTGATTCACTGGCTTGGACGTTTGTAGCCCTAGCTGTCACTCAGTGGACTAGGCCTCACTTGTCAATAGTGTTTCCTGGCTGGGTGCGGTGGCTCATGTCTGTAATCCCAGCACTTTGGGAGGCTGAGGTGGGTGGGATCATCTGTGGTCAGGAGTTCAAGACCAGCCTGGCCAACATGGTAAAACCCTGTCTCTACCAAAAATGCAAAAAATTAGCTGGGCATGGTGGCGGATGCATGAAATCACAGCCACTCAGGAGGCTGAGGCAGAACTGCTTGTACCCGGGAGGCAGAGGTTGCAGTGAGCTGAGATCAGGCCATTGCACTCTAGCCTAGGCAACAAGCGAAAGCTCCATCTGAGGAAAAAAAAAGTGTTTCCTCAACCCATGAGACAGACAGGACAAGGATTCTTTTATATATTCACACACACACACAGACACACACGTATATATATTTTTGGTAGAGATAGAATCTCACCATGTTGCCTGCACTGGGCTCAAGTGATCCTCCCACCTCTGCCCCTAAGTGGCTCAGCCTACAGGCCCACACCACCACACTAGGCTAATTAAAAAAAAAATTTGTAGAGACACGGTCTCCCTATGTTGCCCAGGCTTGTACTGAACTCCTGGCCTCAAGGGAACCTCCCACCTCAGCTTCCCAAAGTGTTGGGATTCCAGGTGTGAGTCACTGCGCAGGGCCAGGACAAGGATCCTTAACCCCCTTCCAGGATGGGAAAGTCGTGGCTGAGTGGGAAGACACCAGCTGAGGTCACATCACCAGAGGAGGGAGAGTTTGGCCCCTGACTCAGTCCATCAGCTTGTGTAGCTGAGGTCTGGGCCAGGTCTAACCAGCCTCCCCGCTCCTCCCAACCCAAGTCTGCCCTCTGATCTCTGCCTGTTCCTTTGTCCCACAGGGGGCAAAGGCTACGGGTCAGAGAGCGGGGAGGAGGACTTTGCCGCTTTTCGCGCCTGGCTCCGGTGCTATGGCATGCCGGGCATGAGCTCCCTGCAGGACCGGCATGGCCGCACTATCTGGTTCCAGGTTGGGCCCTGTTCACACAGGCAAAGAGACCCCATGAGGCTGATGGGTGGAAATGAAACCTGGGGTCACAAGAACTGGGGTGGAGATGCTTGGGGCCTGTCTAGACCTTCCAAGGACCACACTGTTCCCGAGGGTCATGCCACTCCCCTGCCTTGCGTCCCAGGTTCGCAGCCAGTCAAAGTAGCTAAGGGCAGGGCAGCTTTGCTGATGTGGACTCTGACATGGGGGAGATCCTAGAGGCTTCCTAGGGCAGAAGCTACACTGATCTGGAAGGGTGTGTGTGAGTCCTGCCTCTCCCAGGGAAATGCCCCTGCGCCAATGAAGGCTGACTCCTTAATTATCTTCATCCCACTTTAGGGGGATCCTGGACCCTTGGCACCCAAAGGTAAGCTACTCCTAATGTAATAGGCTGAGAGCAGAAAGGACTTAGGGTTACAACACCCTTCTCCACCCTATCCCCCTGCAACCCTGGGAGTTCCCCCCTCGGGGCAGGACAGGACCCTCCAACTCCAACATTAGTGTCCTGCAGGGGGCAAGTCCCGAAAAAAGAAATCCAAGGCCACGCAGCCGAGTCCTGAGGACGGAGTCGAGGTATGGCTGCCTGCTCCGCAGCCTCCTCCCTTGTACTCCTGCCCTGGCTGCCCCCGTCCCACCTCCTCCTCCCCCTGGCTTCGCCCCCCCAGGCAGCTGCCTTACCCTAAGAGGGTGGGGGGAGTGGCGAGTCCTAACCAACCTCTGCAGAGCCCCTTAGGGACCCGTGCCTCCTCCATCCAGGACCGTCCACCTCCAAGCAAGGCCCCTTCCAGGACACTTAGGGCAAAGAGAGACCTTCCTGAGAGAACTGCAACCCAGCGGCCTGAGGCGACCAGCTTCCAGCAGGACCCAGAGGCTCCCAAAATCCCCAAGAAGGGGAGGAGGAAGGGACGACAGGCAGCCTCTGGTAGGCTTTCCTCAGCATCCCCAGCAGCCAGCTCTACAGGAGAGGATGGGACGGCAGCCTAGGAGCCCATGAATGAAGCTGGGAGAGAGGCTGTCAGGGCAGCCCCGGAGTCTGAGCTGACCATCTCACCTCTTCTTCCCCCAGGCCAGCGCAGACCTCGGAAGGCCAAGGCTGACACCCCATCCTTGGAACTGGAGGGGACCTCAGCCTCTTAGCAGGAGGGTCTCCTTGTTTGCACCCGCCCTTTCTTGTTGCCTTGCCCTGAATCTGGGGTCTGTCTGAATTCTCGGGAGTGGGCAGTGTCTGAATTCTTAGAAGGTGCAAATGCCCGACAGCTGCTCCCGGGACAACTGTGATGTTTTTAACTGCACCCCACCTTCCACATCCCTCAAGCTCATGTGAAAAATGCTGTATTTTTAATAAACTGATAAATGTGAACTTGGCACCTCTTGGTCTGAGCTGGCCAGGTAGGAAGGCCTGCTGTCCGGGCCTGGGGACAGGAAACCTACCTCCTCACAGGGCAGACAGCCCTCATGCTAGTCCTCAAGGCTCTGGCTGTCAGAGGACAGTGTGCCTCTGCAGAGACAGCCCCTCAGAGGTGGTGTCTGGCCCCTGGCAGCCCGGGAGCCACAGCTGCTCCACTCCAGATTCTCCAGGGTCCAGGGCTGCTCTCCCATTCTGGCAGGAGCCAGGCAGAACCCGCCGTCCAGCTGCTCCCCAGCCCCGGGCCCTCTGCCTGCAGGCACAGGGGAGGAGCTTCTCCATGCATGGTCTCTTCATTGGCTTTTGGTCACTCAGGGTCCCCAGTGTCTCTTGTCGGGGCTGCAACCCAGACCTTCCACACACAGGTACCTTAGGACCTTGCCCCTCCCACCAAAAACCATCCCACCCCAGACTTCCCACCCCAACCCCAAGCCTGACGATAGGCCCTAAGGGGAGCGGGCAGTGGCTACCAGCAGGTTTCTCATCCAAAAATTTATTCCACAAGAAGAGACTGATCCCTGTTTTAGGCTGGAGAAGCAGAAATTAGGAGTCCCCAAAGCCTTCCACAAACAAGACCCCAGCCCCAGGGACTCAGTGTGGCAGAGGCTGGAGCATGAGCAACAGGGACAGCACTTGGAAGGGAGAAAAGGTGAGCTTCAGGCGGTTGTCCCAAAGGGGCAAGTGGCCAGCAGGGTCTGGTCGCTCCAAGAGGTCACAGCTGGAGAACAGGAGGGGCAATGAAGGCTCTCCCAGGGCAGGACCTACCCCTGCCCCCACCTCACGGCGCCACTCACAGGATGGCCTCCTGAACTGGCAGTGACAGGTGCAGCCAGCAGTCCGCGTGGCTGCCGTGGGCCTCATACAACCTCAGGACCAGCGAGCGGCTCTGGGGACTGCTCTCAGCCTGCAGAGGGACGGGGCTGGTGGGCGAGGCCAAGGGGGTGCCCAGTCCGGGACCCCACCCCCGACACATCCCACCCCTTGCCTGCTTGACCGTCTCCAATACGACGGCGGGTGAAGACAGGGAAAAGGCACTCCAGGAGGTGGTGGGCGCTCGGCCCGGGACCGGCAGAGCCAACAGGGGGAAGCTGAGGCTGTAGGCAGCTTGGATAACGCCAGCATCCTGGAAAGAACCTGGGATATGACCAGAAAGTGATACTGGTGGAGAATGGGGGTTTCCCTCCCATGTCCCTAGGAGGGCAGGGAGCCAGGCTGCTGGGGTTTGTGCTCAGAGAAGAGCAGAGAGGTGTCTAGGGCTGCAGGAAGGCCCCACCGTGCCCAGCACTCACCCTTGTGCGGCATCAGCGCATAGGTGAACTCGTGGCGCCCCATGTCAGCGGTAGCGTCTGGGGCTTTAGGTGCCCGCAAGCTGGGGTGAGGAGGGCCGGTAGGGGTCAGGCTGAAGCTGGTGGAATTGCGGCCGGGAAGACCCATGTCCCCTGCCAGCTCCCAGGCCTGGTGGGTACCCCACTCACAGTGAGAGGCTGAGGATGCTGCCTCGCACCGAAGCGCCGTACTTGCAGTCGTTGAGCAGGGCCAGCCCGAAGCCGTGCTCTGACAGATCCATCCAGCGGTGGGCCCACACCTGAGGGCAGATCCGAGACACACGTGCTGGCCCTGCGCCTCTCCTTTTGCTCCCAGACTTCAGAGCTCCTGTCACTTGGTGGGGTGCAAGCTCTAGAACCACACAACTCAACTCCAGCTCCCACTCTAGGGGGCCCTGGGCATGTCACCGTATCTGCCTAAGCCTCAGTTTCCTTATCTGCGAAATGGGAATAAATAATAGTACTCACCCCACCAAGTGATCATGAGTATCAAATTAAATGTGAAGTGTTTTTGGTTTTTTTTTTGAGACAGGGTCTCAGTCTGTTGCCTGGGCTGGAGTGCAGTGGTACAATCTCTGCTCACTGCAACCTCTGCCTCCCGAGTTCAAGTGATTCTCCTGCCTCAGCATTCCAGGTACCTGGGATAACAGGCATGTGCCACACCTGGCTAATTTTTCTTTTAAATAGGGACAGGGTTTCTCCATGTTGACCAGGCTGGTCTTGAACTCCCGACCTCAGGTGATCTGCCTGCCTTGGCCTCCCTTGGCATTACAGGCGTGAGCCACCGCGCCCAGCCAATGTAAAGTGTTTAGTACAATGCACATGTTAGGAAGCGGCAAATGTTGATTATCCTCTTCCTCCCCAGCCCGTACAAAACAACCAGTCTCCCCAGCCAGGGAGGAGTCCAAGGCCACCCCCACCCTGCCATGTCAGACCTCAAATCGAGCCCAGTCCCAAGAGGTGTTGTAGTGGGTGGGCCGCTGCAGATGCCCGAACTGGATCTCATAGGTGGCCTGGGAACTCCGCACATGAGCCGGGAACTCCACCTTCAGGAACTTGTGGGCCTCATGCCAGTGTACCTGGGAGCAGGATGGAGGGTGGGAGTAAGGGAAGGAAGAGACACACCAAAGCCTGGGGCTGCTCCCTCCTTACCAAGCATGCTTGGGGAAAACAGCCAGCCCCTTACCCCCCTGCTACCTCAGTGTGGAAACGGACATAGGGGCAGCCAATGTCCAGCACGACCTCCTGGCTAAGCCGACTATTGGGGCTGATCTGCAGCAAGAACCAGGCGCTGCCCCGCAGGCCGCCCTCGATGCCCACTGCCAGGGTCCCTGGCTGGCCCAGCACAGGCTTCCTATGGGAAGGGTGCACACACTGAGCCAGAGCAGCCTGTGCTCCCCCCACCTCCACCATCCCCACGTGCTGCCCGGCCCATACCGTGTCTCCAGGTGGTAGTCCATGACGTCCCACGCATCCCAGTACAAGGGGACGTCATCAAACAGCACAAACTGGTTCCCCACGGCACCCTCAGCAATGGCCTCCCTGGAAGGACATGGGATTGGTGCTTACAACCATCTGACTGCGTTCCCTCCAGCTGCGCTTGGTGGGGTAGGGTGGAGTGAGCAGGCCCAGCAGACAGGGGACTAGTACCCAGCCTGCCATGCCCCATGTGTGGGCTCCAGCCCAGACCCACTAGTGGGTTGCTGTGGGCAGTGTTGTGGCCATGGGAGAGAGGAAGCAGGCTGGGATCTGTTTGCCAGGCACTGGGAAAGGGCAGTGAGGAGCTGGCACCTGCCAGAGGCCACCAGGACCAAGGACGTCAGGCGGCCAGTCGGGTCCAGCCTCACTCGGATGATGCCATTGTCCAGAGTCACGGAGCCATCAGTCTTTGCGGGAGGAGGCCTTGAGGCTGAGTTTGTAGGGGCTTCCCATACCAAAAGTCCTCCCACCCCACCCCACCCCAGCCCCAGCCCCACCTCACCAGTTGCCCCAGGAAGAGGAACTCAGGACCCCGGTTGGGTTAGAAGGCATCCCAGCACCGCTCCTGCCCCCAGGGCGTGCAGGACTCACCTCTTGCACTACAGACACAGGCTGCTGGGGCAGCAGGGGCTGCGGCGAGGTGGGGGCAGGAACAGGAGCATAGCCCATGCTGGGCACTGTCACCAGGGCTAGGGGTGAAGCCTGGGCATCAGTGCAGCCTCCCTGACCTTCCAGAAAGCTTGCACAGGTGGGGGTGGGGTGGTGGAGGATGCGCTGCTACTCTCCAATCTGGGGCACCCAGGGCACAGACCCCCAGGGGTATCCCAGGCCTGATCTGTCACGTCCACCCTTCCTGCCACAGTAGCACCCCTTCCCCTCAGCCCGTACCTAGGCTGTGGGCCCCACCCGGCTTGGGCAGGGCCATGACTTCAGTGCGCTTCCAGGGCAGGGTGTTGACGATGAGGAGGCCCTCGGGACCTGGGTCCCCGGCACATAAGGCTGTGGCCGCATTGCTGAGCAGTGTATTGCCACAGGAACGGATGTCTGAGGAGAGACTGGCTGGTCATGGGTGGGCAACAGGTCTGGAATGGGCCCATGAGTATCCCACAGAGGAGACACTCCAGGCTCAGCCGTGGGGTTGGAGAGAGTGGGCAGGAGTGAGCCTAACCTTCATAGTGGTGCATGGCATCCTCTGCCACCATCTGGATGCAGCTTCCAGTCACCACATCATGGAACTGGTTCAGAAGCAGGAGCCTGCAGGGGCCAAGGGCAGGGATGGAAAGGCTGGGAGGGGCAGCTACAGAAGTGTCTGCTGTGAGCAGTCAGGTGGGCGGCAGGGGCAGCACCAGGCTGACCTCCAGAGGCGCTGCAGCTGGGCTGCTGGGTATAGGAACTGGGCACTGCGGGCCAGGGCCAGGCTGCTGAGCAGCTCCACGTCGTGCAGGATCCGCTCACATTCCCGGTTCCCCTTCTTGATCTGAGCCCGGGATGGGAAGATCAGTCTGGAGCCTGCCTAAGGGTCCCAGGACACCTTCCAAGGCCCTCCCATGCTCAGAATCCCTGGGGACTCCCCAGGGGCCTCTTGAAGAAGGCCTCTGGCAGGTGACCTGCCTCAAATGCTTTCCGTCTCTTCCCTGAAGCCCAAACCCCTCTTTCTTTAGAGACGCTGCCTCGTCCATGCTTCTGTGGCCAACCCAGCTCTTGGACTTCTCTCCTCCAAACTTCCTGGAACATGAACCTCTTCTCCTAGGTCTGGCCTGGGCTCTGTCCCCTGCTGCCTTCTCTGACCCTCTGCAGATCAAGGCCACACCCTCCCTGCATGGCCCTGCAGCCAGTCCCTGACCTGGGCGTGGGTGGTGTAGGTGGCATTGTGCAGCTCCAGGAAGAGCTCCCCGACCCACGTGCACAGCTGCCCGGAGCCGCTCTCCAGCGCTGAGAAGAGCTGCCTTGGAGAAGAGAGCTGCACCCTGAGGAGACCACAAGCCTGGGTGTCCCAGCCTTGGAGACCACATGGCTACCCCTTCTTCCACACCAGAGCAGAAAAAGGATCCAGCCCCTACACACGGGAGCCACTCCAGAAAGCTCCCCATCCACATAATGCCAGCCCTGGATGCTGTAGGAGAGCTTCTCTCTCTGGTGGGCTGGAGCCCT